ATTAAAATAAACTACTCTGCTATAGTGCTGGAATAGACTAATATTGCAATTTTGTGTAAATTTTTTATGTTGATAATGCATAAATTTGTTGACAATTTTGTATGAAAAAAAGCATAAATTAGAGTTCTTAATCATTGTCTAAGGGTAAACATTTTGAAGTCATAGAATTAGCTTGGCACGACTCTATATAAATTCATTTGTTCCAGCTTCGCACACTTTTTGCATCAAACAGTTCCAATTCACTGTACATAAAAGGTTATTCAATTCAAGAGGATATATTGTGGAACAATAGCCGGGATTTTGGTTCTTTTTTTAATCTTCAGTAAAATCGTCCAGTTGCTGAAACAAGACAAGTTGACGCAGGTAAAATACTCTAAGCTAAGAAGTTGTTATACTAAGGATAAAAGAGTTTTTTTCGGTTTTATAAAGGCATGCGCTAACTCAATTTCCCCAAGCAATTAATAATTTCCGCTAGAATTCATTCTTAATTGGAAAACTATATATATTGTAATATTCAGATCGTGAGCTCAAACTGAGCTCGGTAGAATTAATTGAACGTCTATCTCAATTACTCGATAAATACGCTAAGCCTCTGCCATTAACTATTAATATATCATACAAATCTTCGTCTACTTTAGAGACGGAAGATAATAATAATCACTCATGTTGGAACTATTCCTAGGTTGAATACAAGCGAAAAAGGAATGCTTTTGAATAACACTTCATTTGAGGAGACCGTTTCTCGAGGAAGTCGGGCTATGGAAGGACCTGGAGATGCAGTATGGATCCTAACAAGCGCTTTTATTATTTTTACAATGATTTCTGGATTCGGTTTAGTCGAATCGGGTAAGTAATACGATCACGATAAATATATCAGATGAGTTTTTTGATCGGAAATTTTTGGTGATGCAACTTGAAACAGAAAAAAATATGATATGCGTGTGTGTGCTGATGTGGTTTTTTTTTGTTTTTTTTGTTTTTTTGTTTCAAATGTCGTACGGCCATAAACTCAAAATAAATCTATAACTTTATTTACTTTTTTGTGAAAAATCTTTGGAGATATAACATTTCATACAATTTAAAAATCAGAAGCACGAAGAAAAAAATTTTTTCCCCTGATGTAAGATATATATTCTTTCGTGATTACAATATATTGGACGATCGATTGCTCGACGTCTCTCTATCAATGATATTATATTTCTTTCTTTCTTTTTTTCTTCCGGCTCTCTGGATGTTATCGGTCGATAAGCTATATATGAGTAGAAACACTGTAATTCTCAATAGTTAGCTTCAAAAAAGCTTATAAATTCAGTCAAAAATTAATATCACTATTATCGATTTCTCTAGGTTTGCACGAAAATTAAAACTGAGTTTATTTTTGTCCCGTTGCTAGGCATCACTTAAATGCTAAGAAAAATATTGCATTTGAAAATATTATATGAGCCAAATTTATGTGAACAGGTGCAAAATGAACCGAACTCTAGTATGCGTTATGCAAATACTCGATGAGAATTTTTTTACCTTTTTCATTACTTCATTGAGTTAAGAAGCTGTTAGATCGTATGATAGTCATTCTTCAAACGCGAAATTCAGTCCTTTATTTTAAATTATTAATCTTTTGGAAGGTTCTGTCCTTTTAGAGTTGCATTTTTTTTCCTCTCATGTCGGGGAGTAACCGACTTGGCCGTGAGCTCAATGTTAGGATATTTTGCCGAAGAGAAATCGCATTTTCGTCGTCACCATTAAAGCACTTTCTGTAGTTTGGTTTTCCTTATATAATAACGACTAAACCAAAGTCAATTCAAATATAATCCGTTATTTTTTGTGTGTTTTTAACGTTATTTTAAACCCAGTTTTTCGACAGCTCACGAATAGTGACCAAAAACATAAATGGCATCAAAATCAAATATTTTTGATGATTTTTTTTCCTTTTGGTTTTTGAATTGTTTTCTGTGGTGTTCCAGTATTTGGTAGTTAATATGTATCTTAAGATATAATTTTTTTACGCCCCCTGTGCTTTAATAAATCGTATATTGGCTCTTACGACTTGCTTCATGCCTCTTTAATTCTTCATTTTAGTATTCAGTTTTTCCACCTGCTGGCACTTGTGAGCGATATAAATAAATGCGTGGAAATACACTAGAATCAACTGTGATGAGAGAAAATAGAAGCTCTGTGATAACTGCTATTTGTTTTCAACCCAATTTTAAATTCATCGAACAGGAAAAAAAATTAATAAATTGAATTAAAAAATAAACTAAGATAGTAAAAAATAATAATAATTTGATAATGATAATAATAATAATTATTATTATTAATATTATTTTCATTTTTTAATTTTATTTTAATTAATAAACTTTATTGACAATAATAATTCTTCAAGATATGATCTGTAATAATAATAACACTTCTACATTAATTTCTCACTAAGAAAATATATCTACTAATGTATAACCATAAAATCTATTTAGTAAAAATGAATCCTAATAATATATGTTTAAAAAAAATAATGGCAAACATTTATATGTTATTATTAATAATAATTATTATTATTATCATTATTATTATATTAATAATTAACGGTTGTCATGATCGAAGATAGGAAGATAAGAAAAAATATCTTTAGCAATGTGGAGGGGGAGAAAACAAAAACAAAGACAAGGAGAAAGAAAGAATGAAGAAAGGAAAGAAAGGGACGGAGGGAGGTTCAGAAGGAAAGGAAAAATGGGATAAAAATTGAAAAAGATAAAGAAAAAATATCTGCCCATCTTACCATCCTTATATTATTTTCTTTCCAGGTATGGTATCGAGAAAAAACGAAGCCAACATCATGGTCAAAAACGCCATCGATGTCATCTTCGGTGGCCTTGGATTCTGGATGTTTGGTTTTGCATTTACCTTCGGGAAAGAAGAGGGTGGCACGAACGCCTTCTCTGGTTTTGGCAACTTCTTTACCGACGCAGACGAGTCGGAAATGGGCGAGGTTTTCTCTCTGTACCTCTTCCAGGCATCGTTTGCTACAACAGCAACGACAATTGTATCGGGCGCCGTCGCGGAGAGGATGAATCTAAAGGCATACACAGCGTTTGCCTTCACCAATACCATCACATATTGTTTCCCAGCCCACTGGGTCTGGGGTGATAAAGGATGGCTGAAGGAGATGGGTGTGGTCGATATGGGTGGGGCAAGCCCTGTTCATCTGGTTGGTGGGGTAGCAGGGCTGGTTGCTACTCTTATGCTGAAGCCAAGGACAGGAAGGTATATACTACGCTCGTCTAAGAAAGAATGGAATCATATCATGGCTTCACCAACCAATGTCCTGCTAGGTAAGTTACCAAATACATTTTTTTACTCTTTTTTTTCATATTTAAGTGACATTTTGTTTAGTATTATTTCCCGGACTTACGAGGTAATTCTTAAAGGGACTTCATCTTCACTTCCATCTTCTTTAAAGCCAGTATCTTCCTCATACATTCAGGGAAGGTAGATCTTTAATATCTTAGATACCACACATGCTGATCTTTTTGCTAAGATAACCGTGCATTCACCATGTAATTATAAATTGGCGATATCAGAACTAGCACAACGCAGAGGGCTGAAAAAGCATTTCAGCGAAATGAATATGCATTGAACGTATACGTATGTGAAATAGAAAATACCGAAAAAAGCTCACTTATTTGGAATATAAGAACGTAATGGAAATTACTTTAAAAAACTCACTTATTTGTAATATTTGTTCAATTTGGAATGAGCCTTCTCTGTCATGAAGAGAAA